TTTAAATGATTTGACTGCTTCTGGCACACAAGTGCACATTCTTCTGTGGATATTCATTTGTTCTCTTTAAAAGAATTCACCCCACTTTATACAGCTACTGTACACAAAAAGAAAAGAAAAGAAAACTACTCACTTTTACATTGTAGCTCACTGTCAGAGTCAAAGAGAGGTATCTCAGCCATAAGCTTCTGCATGGTATACTGAACAAAACATGGAAAAGAAAGAGACAAAATAAGACATAAGTATCAATTCAATTCAATTTATTTGTTCAAGTTAAAAAACATGGAAATGTTACGTGGGATTTTTACAAGCAATGAAAATACATACCGTATTACAAACATCAATAGCATAATTTATTTTTTTTAAATTGGAAAAGGGTATAGATTGTGATAAATATATATAGACGTTGACATTTTAGACATTAACAAAGTAAATTACCCATAGCACGAGCACTATCGAGTCAAATGGGATAGAGGGTGAATAGAGGAAGAAGGACAGTAGATCGAGGTGGAAAGAAAAGAGATGAGTCAGGAGAAAGGGAAGGATATAAAGATGAAAAGAGAAAGGGAAAGAGAGCTGTGAGGTAAAGAACAGAGATTATAGGGGCGGTGTTGTAAGCAGAGAGAATGTCATGAAATGATAAGAGAATTGAACAAAAAGATTATGAATTCCCACTATCAAATAAGTAGTTAAAGGAATAAGTGTAGGTATTCTGAAAAATGATATGTATTCCTGCCCTTTGATGTACAATATTCCTTACAGGTGAGAAGGAAAAGGTATCTGTAACGTGTAAAAGAATTTATGTAATATTCTTTCTACATCTTTTCAAAAGTAAGCATGCTTTGGAGGAACAAAATTCCCTTTTTTGCAACTTCAAGCTTGTTAGGAATTTATTTTATTATTAAACAAGTGACAGCCAGTTAGTTTTTTGGCTGATGGAATGTCTCATTTTTGTGATAGGCATGCTCTATGCAAAAAGCATAGAAATCTACAATTGAATTAGTCTTAGCAATTATAGAACTTTTGATAGATATACACCCCCCCCCCCCCTTCATACAATTCCACTCAATACAAAGCCTGATTAGCAAATATCTGCTCACATACCTCAAAACTTGACTGCTGTAACTGTTCCAGTCTCTTTTCTTCTGGGATATCTGTTGCTATTTTCTGATGGATTTCTGCAATGGAACAAAATATGGAATAAATTTTATCAGAACAAAAGTACAAAATACATGAAACACACACACACAATAATGCCTTCGGTGGCAGAGGCATACCAACAAACAAAAAAACCTCAAAACAAACAAACAAAAATAAAAACAGCTTACGTTTGAGGTCTATCTAAAAACCCACTCTTTTACATGCAGGTTACCGTACTAGCATACATGTATAATGAACCACACTTCCTTTTCTTAAATAGATTACCAACTTTCTCCCTCATTGAATATTAAAAGATATAACTCTGATTAAATCAAATGCAATAAGAACTTTAAACAAATCACGAATGACCCACCTGAGCTTTCTATATTAACTGGGGGCAAAGACTTCCGCGAACGCGATCGCATAAAACTTGAGCGCCGCTTCTGTCTCTTCTTATGCTTCGTAATCGTTGACATAACCTGATGGGAAGGAAAGAAAACAAGAAAATAATTTAAAGTCAAACACAGTGTTTGTATTTTCATTACAGATATCCAATGGATATACAACCGCACCGTATATCAAAAAGAAAAAGCCATGTTATATCAATGGATTAATTCACACTTTTTCATGGATAAATATTTCTATTTCCTCAAATTAGGCCAATATCAGTTTTATTAATTTACAAATCTTCTTTATCCTTATCTCTTCCTCTTCCCTTGATTTGAATTTTCTTTTCTTTAGCTTGATTTGTTTGAATGTAAAACCAAAGGTATGTTAGTTGTTTTAAGTCCTCTGGATCATTTTCAGACATTATTTGATACATGTTATTTTTATACAGTTGATGCCATAACATAGTAATAAATAGTTTTTCATGTGAAAGACCCCTATTCTAATTCGTGATCACCAAAACTATAAGATAGGCATACAAGAGGCACACAAATATTGTTCATGATGTTATTTTTTTATGAAAGCTGGTAATCCACAGTAATTGCCTGTAACTCTAATGAAGATGTTTCCAGTAAATTCTAGAGCTGCCTGAAACAGCTGAAGCATATTAAAAGAAACAAGGAATACAAGTGGTGGAAAGTGTTGAGAAAAAAAAAAATCAAGATCATTATCAACAGAGCCGATTATACACACAGCTCAGTCAGGCTAACATTAACAAATGTTCAGTTGCATGCTACATGAAGCCTAAGTAACAGAGAACTGTGGCCGAACTTACATGTACATCAATTCTTTACAGTGTATGTTGCAATTAGAGGGAGGGTCATGCCTATTTTTTCACAAAATGACTGTACTATTATGTTAGAAAGCTTCATGTATCTCCCATACACCTACCACATTCTGGTCATCATCTGATTTCCGTTTTCTTGCAGACCTAAGTTGGATAAAATGACAAAAAAAATTGATGAAAATAAATGACAGACCAACCAGGCATAGACATACTGTACATGTAGTCTAGTCCATACTGATTTAGACTACAGTATGAGAGTCTAACTCTAACTAAGTTTACGAAGACAATCCGATACAATCCAAGACAATATAAACAAAGTCAAATGTAAGAACAAGTCTTAAAAAAGTCTTTAAAAAGTAATAAAGACAATATCTGAACTGAAAAAAAATAAATGGATGAATTATAGATCTATATCAACGGAAAGCTTAGAAATCGACTATAGGTCTAGATCTAGCCATAGATTTACAATAATATCAATTGAATGCCATTTTACTATGTCTGTCACAGCCAGCCGCTAGCCATGTTCGCATGAAACTCAGAACTTTTGAAAAACGTATTTTACTATTTTTAGCAATGCAAAACTCTCAGGCAGTACAGACAAATCCCCCCCCCAAAAAAAAAAAAACGGATTAGATCTAATATGTAAAAAATGTAGAACTACTTCGCAGCTCTGCTGTCAGAGGAGTATCGTCACTCGATTTATCAGCTCTCTGAAAAGTGAAAACTCAAAATCTAAAAGCTTTGAAAATCAGCAATTCAAGTTGTCAACCAAATTATATATTAAAAACTTGCCATCAACATCAATTTTCATCTTAAAATTCTGAATTTATGTGGAGTAGATCGGCCTAGGTCTAACTTAGATCTACGCATAGTGAGTGAATGACTAATTTGCATTAATCAGTTATTATTATTAAGTTAATTAAGCAGGGCTCATCGCCTCAGGTAGATAGGTGAACCGCTTGGGTCTCATCGCTGTAACTTCAGCAAATCTGACCCAGCTGTTGACCCGTAATTTGGAAGGCAGCGCTCAATGCCAAGCAATGGGCAAAGTTCTTCGTGGAGGGGTGCAGAAAAGAGGTTCTAATTTGCTTTTGACTTGTTGTGCAAGAATAAAGGGTAGATCTGTTAGTGTTAGATCTACGCCTAAACTTAGACTAAATAGATCTCTAGGTCTAGACTAGACTCTAGTCTACTTTTAATCCTTTATTCATATTTGTATTCTACATTCATTCGGTTTCTTATTAGGTCTAGGTCTAGGCCTAGATCTATATCAAGTTGTATTTTCATCGAATAGGGTGTTACTGTTAGAGCGCCGACGACTCAAATGCAAAGCAAAGCAAAGGGGAGAATTTGCAGTCTGAACGGTCAACCAGCGCGCAGCGCCAACATGACGTAGGGCTAGAGTTGGGAGAAGTGAGAGCGTGCTGCCGCTGACTACATTTCTACAACAGCTAGCCGCTCGATCTCGCGTCTAGATGGATGATCGAAAAACAAATGCAGAGATAGTAAATATGAATATCAACTGATTATTCCGAATCCCCAGGAGATTTTTATATTCTTCGATAAGTATATTTTCCACTACACTTAAAACAAGATTTAGAAATGTAAACAATAAATTTTCTGTGCTCACCGTGTATTGACCGCGGAGACGTCCATTTTGAAATGAAGCGCGCCACGAAATTAGCCTTTTGTCAAGAACGCGGTGGAATTTACCATCTTGTATTAATTGTGGCTTCTTACAAATTAATATTTTCCATCATTTTGTTTTCATACTACTTTATTCTTTCTGAACGGACGAACATTCTAAAAGACACTGATTTGACATATATCGTTCTCTTGGTTTGGCTTGAGCTCTTTAGCCGATCTGGGTCTGAAGTTTACAGCCAATTCATATTAGTCATTTCTGAGGTTTCAAATGAGCCTGCAGGTTTATGCAATTAACCCCGCCCCCTACTTCGCATAATCGAGCAAGGAAAACTAATTAGAAGAAAATACCCCCTCTCCTCTCTCTTGGTTCTTGCTCCTCGATCTTGTCACAAATGATTCCACCGACTTGAAATCTATCAATATGATAAAATAGTTCTACAATTGCAGTTAATTATCATCCATTTCTTCTTCTTCCTTCCTTATAATTTGATGGCAATTATAGCCATACAATTGTTAATGACTCGTTTCTTTTCCTCCTCTTCTCTCTCTTAATTGATATTATTGATACACTTTCTAGTTTTCTTTTTCAAACCTAACAAAATTATATACTTAACAGGCGCGGATCCAGAATTTTCCAATAGGGGGGGGGGGGGGGCCGGAAATTTGAAAATTGCGCAGACCGTTTTTCAACTCAACATGCCAATACTGACGAGGTCATATTAGAAGCACCATACCGGTAATTTTTTTGACATTTTCATCGGGGGGGGGGGGGGGGGAGGGGGGCTGAAGCCTCTTGCCTGAAAAAGTAATTTTCTGGTTTCACAATTCGGCTAGTGAGCGAAGCGAGCGAGCAAAAATTTGAGGATAATATGTATTTTGTGAAAGTGTTATTTATCACCAAAATATACGAGAAAAGATATAACAAATTCATATTCGGGCAGCTCGCTGTTCCTCTCCCCTCCCCCATTACGCGCGAAGCGCAGAAGCTTTAATGTTTCAAGAAATTATTAGAGAAAGAAGAGGATTCGTGGAAGTTTTGACGTTTCATTAAATCATTAACCCTAATAAGGCCGGGGGGGCCATTATGGCCCCCCCCCCTCCACGATTTTTCCGATTGCTCGGGAACGCATATGGATGGTCCCCCGCCGCTCGCTGACTTTTTTCTTTCGAGTCTTGCGCAACTTTTAAAAGATTTTTTTGAAAATTGGACCTACGGTTACAAGGTCACGTGACCTTTTGTCATTGCATGTCAGCCCGAAAATCGCTCATTTTCGTGATTTGTGTACAAAACATATGGAAAAGTCATTTTCCTAAAAACAGATCAAACATGGGTTATTTGGTCTTGTTTAAAGTTTAGGTGGTTGTTTTGGAGTCAATATAGTTGAATTGTAATAAGAAATGAAATAAAACAACAAAAACAATGAAATACATAAGTTAAAAAAACAATGAAATACATAAGAAATTATCAAAACAAGGGATAACATAAGAAATAAGCTGGCTCTTTCAAATTTTTTGTCATATTATTATTCAGAATGGTCTAATGAATATATGTAAGAGAAAAAGAATGCTTAAATATGAATAATATATGATTTATGGGTAAAAATGTGATTTTTATGACTTTATTTGCATAAATTACCATAAATATGCAAATGAGTGAATTTTTCAAAAAATTGAAATTATCATATTATTCTATACACTTCACTTGACATGCGTGCAAATTTTCGCAACGATCGGCCGCTTCGCGGCCGAGATCTTAAGGGGGGGCCATAATGGCCCCCCCCCCCCGGCCCTACTAAGACCTCAAATAGCCCGGCCTTATTAGGGTTAAAGAATGAGTACCGTTCTCGACTCTTAATCCTTGTCTGAATTCAGTTTTTCCCCTCCCGCGCGAAGCGCTGAAGCATTGACCTTTCATAGTTTAATGAAATTATTAGAGAAAGAAGATAATTCGTTGTTCCATTCTCGACCCTCAATCCTTCTCTGAATTCAGATTCCCCCCTCCAGCGCAAAGCGCAGAAGCTTAACGTTTCATTAAATTATTAGAGAAAGAAGACGATTCGTTGTACCGTTCACGATCCTTAATCATTGTCTGAATTCAGTTTCCATACCCCCTCCCGCGCGAAGCGAGGAAGCTTTGACGTTTCATTAAATCATTAGAGAAAGAGTACCGTTCTCGACTCTTAATCCTTGTCTGAATTGAATTCCCCCCCCCCCCTCTCCCGCGCGAAGCGCGGAAGCTTTGACGTTTCATTAAATTATTAGAGAAGAAGACGATTCGTTGTACCGTTCTCGATTCTTAATCATTGTCTGAATTCAGTTTCCATTCCCTCTCCCGCGCGAAGCGCGGAAGCTTTGACGTTTCATCAAATCATTAGAGAAAGAGTACCGTTCTCGACTCTTAATCCTTGTCTGAATTGAGTTCCCCCTCTCTCGCGCGAAGTGCGGAAGCTTTGACGTTTCATCAAATTATTAGAGAAAGAAGACGATTTGTTGTTCCGTTCTCAGTTCTTAATCATTGTCTGAATTCAGTTTCCCCCTCCGCGCGAAGCGCAGAAGCTTAACGTTTCATTAAATTATTAGAGAAAGAAGACGATTCGTTGTACCGTTCTCGATTCTTAATCATTGTCTGAATTCAGTTTCTATACCCCCTCCCGCGCGAAGCGCGGAAGCTTTGACGTTTCATTGAATCATTAGAGAAAGACGATGATTCGTTGTTCCATTCTCGACTCTAAATCCTTGTCTGAATTCAGTTTTCCTCCTCCCGCGCGTAGCGCGTAAGCTTCTGACGCTTCATTAAATTATGAGAGAAAGAAGATGATTCGTTGTCCCATTCTCGATTCTTAATCCTTGTTTGAATTCATTTTCCCCCTTCCGCGCGAGGCGCAGAAGCTTTGACCTTTCATAGTTTAATGACATTATTAGAGAAAGAATATAATTCGTTGTTCTATTCCCGACTCTTAATCCTTCTCTGAATTCAGTTTCCCCCTCCAGCGCAAAGCGCAGAAGCTTAACGTTTCATTAAGTTAATAGAGAAAGAAGATGATTTGTTGTACCGTTTTAGACTTGTCAAAAATGTTTCTTTGTCTGCTCCTTTTTTCGTCCTATGTCCCCTTACTGCCCCTACCGCCCCTAGCTACGCATGCTTTAAAGGGAAAATGAAACAATCATGATTGTGATAGCATACAATTAGGTCAGTAGAAATGAAAGGGGAAAAAAAAATCTTTTTATATACCAACCATGAAATAATCGCGACCGGGAGCGTCATAATCTTAGTTTTGTGTTATCGGGCGAGGGCCGGGGCGTAGCGACCATGCAAGCGAGATTTTTCCAAGTAGAATGCTGAAATTATGCATTCTAGAGAATCCTTTAGTCCAATATGTACGTTCTTTCCGCTACATGTATATTTCTTTCTAGCTTTATATCTAAATTCCGGGGGACGTGTCCCTCTATCGGGCCCAGGATCGCCGCCGCTGTCCATTATCACTACCAACATGAGTTCAAATATAAAGTAAGCACAGGCGAGTTGGTATGAGCTGAATCCAAATGAAGGGCAAAATAAGAGTTGTGAAGCGGATTTGAGGATAATATGTATTTTGTGAAAGTGTTATTTATCACCAAAATATACGAGAAAAGATATAACAAATTCATATTCGGGCAGCTCGCTGTTCCTCTCCCCTCCCCCATTACGCGAGAAGCGCAGAAGCTTTAATGTTTCATGAAATTATTAGAGAAAGAAGAGGATTCGTGGAAGTTTTGACGTTTCATTAAATCATTAAAGAATGAGTACCGTTCTCGACTCTTAATCCTTGTCTGAATTCAGTTTTTCCCCTCCCGCGCGAAGCGCTGAAGCATTGACCTTTCATAGTTTAATGAAATTATTAGAGAAAGAAGATAATTCGTTGTTCCATTCTCGACCCTCAATCCTTCTCTGAATTCAGATTCCCCCCTCCAGCGCAAAGCGCAGAAGCTTAACGTTTCATTAAATTATTAGAGAAAGAAGACGATTCGTTGTACCGTTCACGATCCTTAATCATTGTCTGAATTCAGTTTCCATACCCTCCCGCGCGAAGCGAGGAAGCTTTGACGTTTCATTAAATCATTAGAGAAAGAGTACCGTTCTCGACTCTTAATCCTTGTCTGAATTGAATTCCCCCCCCCCTCTCCCGCGCGAAGCGCGGAAGCTTTGACGTTTCATTAAATTATTAGAGAAAGAAGACGATTCGTTGTACCGTTCTCGATTCTTAATCATTGTCTGAATTCAGTTTCCATTCCTCTCCCGCGCGAAGCGCGGAAGCTTTGACGTTTCATCAAATCATTAGAGAAAGAGTACCGTTCTCGACTCTTAATCCTTGTCTGAATTGAGTTCCCCTCTCTCGCGCGAAGTGCGGAAGCTTTGACGTTTCATCAAATTATTAGAGAAAGAAGACGATTTGTTGTTCCGTTCTCAGTTCTTAATCATTGTCTGAATTCAGTTTCCCCCTCCGCGCGAAGCGCAGAAGCTTAACGTTTCATTAAATTATTAGAGAAAGAAGACGATTCGTTGTACCGTTCTCGATTCTTAATCATTGTCTGAATTCAGTTTCCATACCCCCTCCCGCGCGAAGCGAGGAAGCTTTGACGTTTCATTAAATCATTAGAGACAGAGTACCATTCTCGACTCTTAATCCTTGTCTGAATTGAATCCCCCCTTTCCCTCTCCCGCGCGAAGCGCGGAAGCTTTGACGTTTCATTAAATTATTAGAGAAAGAAGACGATTCGTTGTTCCGTTCTCGGTTCTTAATCATTGTCTGAATTCAGTTCCCCCCCCCCTCCGCGCGAAGCGCAGAAGCTTAACGTTTCATTAAATTATTAGAGAAAGAAGACGATTCGTTGTACCGTTCTCGATTCTTAATCATTGTCTGAATTCAGTTTCTATACCCCCTCCCTCGCGAAGCGCGGAAGCTTTGACGTTTCATTGAATCATTAGAGAAAGACGATGATTCGTTGTTCCATTCTCGACTCTAAATCCTTGTCTGAATTCAGTTTTCCTCCTCCCGCGCGTAGCGCGTAAGCTTCTGACGCTTCATTAAATTATGAGAGAAAGAAGATGATTCGTTGTCCCATTCTCGATTCTTAATCCTTGTTTGAATTCATTTTCCCCCTTCCGCGCGAGGCGCA